CGGGAAAAGATGGGGGTTTCAAAATTTTCAACAAAAATTTTTAAAAAACCCAGGGCCCACTTGGCCGCCTTGTTTGGGGTGGCTTTTTCCAAAGGATTGGGGTTTTTCCTTTTTTTTTTTTTCCCCCCCCCCCCCCTTCCCGGGTGCCTCCGGGGGTCCCCTCCTTATTTTTTTTTCCATTCCAAGGGTGAGATTTTCCCGAGCCGTGTTGTGGGGGGCTTTTTCTCGAGCGTTCGCCCGTAAATTCTCACTTCAAAAGTTCCGGTCACCGCCCCCCCCGTCCACCCAAAAAGAGTGGCCCACCCCCACCCTTGCCACGTCCACTTTTTGCCCCCCCAATTCTCACGTTACGTCCAGTAGCGGCACGCGCGCACGCACATGCATCACGCTTTGGGTTTCCCATCCAAGACAAAGAGAATCCTTCATGGAAGCGGAAGAAATTTTTGGGGGGGAGGGTTCGCCCCCCCCCCCCCCCGTACGACAAGCACCCCCGAACAAATGATACTGAAAAGAACCAAGAACAGACTGAAGTGCGTGCTGTCTTCAATGGTCTCAAAAGACGAAAGGCGGGCACGAAATCACCCCTCGTCTCCGATTTTCAAAGGGCGTTACGTTACCCCTCCCCCTCTCCCTCCTGCAAACAGCGCCCCCCCTCTCCGGTCATGTGGACATTGTCCCGCGGCTGAATTCCTCCACGAGCGGGGTAACCAGCGCCTCCAACGGGTCCATTTCTTTCCTCGCCAGAAGGTCAAACTCTAGCGCGAAGAAAATGAAGTGCTGTTTCGGTTGGAGGGTGAGGAGGTATAGATTTGAGGACGAGAGCGAGAGCGAGAGAGAGAGACAGAGAGCGAGAGCGAGAGCGAGAAAGAGAGAGAAAGAGAGAGAGAGAGCAACGGCAAACCGAATGAGAGACGAAGAAAAGAGAAATGCTACGGCATACTGAGTATATCTCACCACGCACTCGAACGCTTGGCGCGCACGCGCACCACCCAAACGGCCTTCGCTGGAGAGCATTGACAGGCTCGGGCATCACTTTCGATCTGTCTTCATCGACCGAACGCTGCAATGTGCAGAGTCGGATTTCTACTTCTGCCATCAACTCGGGGAGGGGACAAGTGGGAAACGAAATGACTTGACTTGACTTGACGGGAGCCAAACACAGGAAAGGATGGCGCAATGTGTGCGGCAGAGCATTTTTTTTAGCGGCTCTTGGTGATAAGAAACGGACGGGTTGAGAGTCGTATCAGAGGGATCAATCACAGCCCATTCCAAAATTCCAAGCTGCATCACGCATATATGCCTGCCCACCGGGGCAAGAGGTGCTAATACAAGCACTATATGGGACAAACTAAACTTGAGCATTCCCGTCGTTACTTAACAGTCGTTACTGATGTCGCTACTATGCCACGTCCATCAAAAGTAGAGGTCCTCTCTTCTCACGACACATTTCGTCCCTTTGGTTCATGGTTGATATGACAAGTGTTCCTCGCAGTGGCCAGGTGACAGCGGGAAAACATCTGCCATAAGGCATTTGGGTTTGCGCCATTTGGTGCAAAGTGCTGGACCCGCACACACTCGAACAGTTTCGTCCCGCTACACGTTAGACCAACTATCATGGGCGAGCCGGTAAGTGGGGTCGATGCTAACAGTAAACTAACACACAACGGGCCCCCCTGCCCTGTACACGGAGGCATGTTGAGTGACGTCACGTCGCCCCCTACCTTGAAGGAAGTGTTGAGATGCGCCGCCGCCCCAAGCTGCTCGATGTTGTCGAAATGGCTGCAGTAGATAATGGCGAACACTCGGAACAGGCGCTTGAAGATCGTCATCGCCGTCTTCTTGAAGTCTTTCGGGTAAGTCGCGTCTAATGATCCCCAGGACAAAAAACAACCATCGCGGAACAGCAAACAGCAACAACAAAAAGGAAAGCCCCGAAATGGTCACCAAGAAATTGATTGTTCAATGCTGTGGGTCCACGACAATCGACAGACGAAAAAACACATGTTGCTCTACGTGCACGAGAATGTGATGAACGGCAAGGGGCTTGAGGGACATTCATGAACATCGAAACCGAAACGTATCCATATCATAGCAAATACCCTAAAACACGAGCTGGTCCTTGTCGACTCGACCGGCTGGTGAGCAGCGACACCACGGGGATCTTTCACTCTCTACACGCACTCTGTCGTACGCAAAGACAACACAACTGTCGTTCCAGAGCCTGCGGGGAAAGTATCTCACTAGCGGAAAAGAGGAGGCAAATTTCAGCGCTTCGGCAAGCGGAAAATCCAGGTTGTACAACCCAGGTTCTTCGGTTGTCTCTGGTTGAAAGGAGAATAAAATTTAACGGATACTTTCCAAACAAGGTTTCAAGCGTCGGATCCATTCGTCTAGGTACACGACATACGCTTGCGCAGAGGTATGACCTTCCCGAAACAAGGGTCGTTCCTTCCCTCATCAGACATCAGACGGGGGGCTCGACGTGTCGGCGTACTGCACTGCAGCAAAGGTTTCCAATGACAACGTGGCGTGGTATGTAAGGTCATCTCTCTCTCTCTCTCTCTCTCTCTCTCTCTCTCTTACCGGGAGTAGTTGGGAAGATATCCTCCTTGTTGATCTGGTCCTCCACCCACGTCATCACGTGGTCCACGTACTGCGGGGCGGAGCATTTCTGCGGGGCCCTGGCGAGAAACAGAACGAAGACAAAGTGGACGACGGTACAGGTAGGACTGAGCATAGGTCGGTAGCCTTGGCGGGGGGGGATATTAAGCTTGCTTTTAGCAGGGGTAGGGGTGGGGGTTCGGGTTCGGAGCCCCCCTCTCATTCTATTTCATAGAGTAAATACTAGTATCATCGCGAAGGCGGTCCGCATGGGTACATGGGGCGGCGGGATTGCTGACACGGCGGCGGTTGGTCCGTTGCAATATGCTTCGCAAGATTCCTCTTGGGATGGCGTTACGCTCACGAAACGTAACGTAGGGTCAGCGGTCAGCCGTTTCGCCCAATCCTTCGTGTGTTCCGTATGGGCGCGTTTTCAAGCAATATACCGTGCGGTGCCAGGGTTTGATACCTGCTGCCACCCACTAGCTTATTGTGCGCGGTACATCGTCAACTAGCGTTGAGCAATCGTCAATTAGCGTTGAGCAGTGTTCACGTAAAAGAGAACAAAATCCACAGGTACTACGTCTACAGCGGGAAGAAGAACGTACAGAGGTCTTGCAACCCCTACATTTCACGTCGCGTTGTCTGTAGTAAAGCAATGATTTCGACAATCCCTGAGCTATGTTCGAAGGGGCTGGCTATGCAGATAAACCCGAAGGCAATACCGTAGCACCACACAAATGCTCCGTGGAGCGCTCTACAGGAAATTTTCAGGCGTGTTGGCCAAGCTTTGGACCTCTCGCCCACGACCTTGTGCTGCTACCTATGAAGCGGTGTCACGTGTTTTGCTTTCCCCTGCTGACCCTGTACGCGAGCAATCCAACAGGGCGCTGCCGCCAGAGGCCCATCAACCATTGCTAAATAGGCAGCTGTGGTGCCAGAAAAAGGAAGCAGTTGTTCCTGTCTGAAAAAACAAAATTGTCGAGGTTCTGCTGACCCCGTGAGTTGTACTGATCCCCAATCCTGGTCTGCTAAGGAGGACCATCTCTCTATAAAAAAAAAGAACGTCGAACGTCACCCCCCCGTCTGAGTCTCGGAACCCTCCAAAGCAGCAGCAGCAGCAGCATCGACACATGAGAGAACGCCAACCACCACAACAAAGGCAAAAACAACAAAGCACGACACTCACGGCTTGCGTCCCTTCCCCTTGGCGCCCTCGGGCACCCACAGGTACTCGAACCCGGGGGGGAAGCCCTCCCCGGGCCTGTCGTACTGCGCCGCACCGTCCGCCACGATGCCGTACAGCAAAGACACTTCGTTGAAGAAGTCAACAGCTGCGTTCGCGGGCGGGGTGGTGAGAGCAGTGGGCGCGGGGGGGGGGGGGTTCATGTTTTGCATGCCGTAGCGGTTAGACCATTGGCCACTTGAGAGGACGGTGGGCGGCGGGAGGGGAGAGGGAAAAGCAACCATGTTGCCTGCTGCGCACTACATAAGAGCTGGAGCAAGATCTGCGGACAACAGCCATAGCAGCAGCCAAAACACAGCGAAGAGATCAACAACAGCGTAATGCCTACCAACACCGCCCTGAGTCACTACGAAACAATGCCGGCAGGCAACGACAGCAAGCTCAAAGGGTACCGCATTACATCGGTCTTGCCAAGGATAAGCCCCGCCACGACCAAGGTATCGGCAGAAAATAGCGCATAGTCTCTTGCAATTCGAAAAACAGCAGGTGCGAACGCTGCTTGCATGAAGATCTGTGTGTCTCGGGGTAGATCCGCAGAAAAAAAAGACAAACAGCGAGAAGCTGAAAACCGCCTACAGCAGTAATGCTCCTTTGGGTCCACTTCGACATGAAAAAAAGTTGCAGCCACGAGAGTCTGTCAACTCGTCAACTCTACTAGAAAAACACGGTGCAAGCTCACTGTTCACTGCTAGCCACTCGTTGAGCTCTTCGAGTCTGGCAGCTCTACAGTATTATAAGAAACATGCGGTTTCCACTCACTGTTGACACCTAGCCACTTGTTGAGCTCTTCGAGTCGAGCAACTCTATTTACTAGAAACACACGGTTCAACCCACGGTTCACAGCTAGCCACTCGTTGAGCTCTTCGAGTCTGTCAACTCTACAAGAAGCACACGGTTCAACTCACTGTTCACAGCTAGCCACTCGTTGAGCTCTTCGGAAGGCGGGAGTTGCACCGCCAATCTCATGTTCCCGCTAACGACCAAACACAAACAAAAAAGCGGTGGCGCGGGGGGTGGAGGCGCGAACAACGGACACACGAGGGCATGTGAAGAACAGCGCCGAGCAGAGAACGGTCAACACGCGCACTACAGACTTCTTACCAGTGTGACGCTATGAGGTAGTTGGTTGGCGGACGCGCACCCAGGCGTAATTGCTTGTGGTTGAAGCGAATGTCACGTCCAGTAGCATAGGCTCGAGAGATGAGGGCCAGAACTACAACAGCAGTAGAACGGTCGGTGCTGTGACGGACGGTTGCCCGCAATTTGACACTGCGGAGTCTTCTCGTTTTCAGTCTCATAACTTTTAATGGGTTCTGGTTGAGGTTGCCACCACAGAAAACGTTTCACTTCCTTCCCTTGAAATAAATGACAATCCCCACCAGAAAAAGGAGCAATCTTCCCAAGGTCCGTCGAGCATGATGCTCGTTCTGTCACAGCAGTCACAGCAGTGAGAGAAGGCCACGAACGATTTACATGTGTAAATTATGAGATGTGAAAAACGCTTGCCAACACTAGTGACCATTCTTCACCCCAGCATGCGTCGGATAGGTACCAAGGGGACACCAGCAGTGCTGGCAGCTGCCGAGGTTGACTACTGTCCGACACTCCACACCAAGGCCTCCTCTTCGGCTGCTGCTGGGTCTCCGCCCATGTTTGTTCCCGACCTCATGCACGAAACAAGGAGCGGCATAGGCTTGATTTCTGCTTGGTGCCAACAGAAATCAACACAAGGGTGGAAACCGAGGGCACTCGGCCAGTGTTTTGCTTTCCCCCGCCGCTGCGCAAAGCTCGGGCCAACGTATACCTTAACCTTGGCGGGGATCCGCCGAGTACCCGCAAAACTGTTGTCCCAACGAACGAACAGCGGTTTCGCCGATCCTCAGGGCCCAAAGCATCGATCCAACGCCCTCTCTACGTGTTGTGTATGATGGTGACACAAGATACACGGCCGGGGGCATGCCAGAGGCCCATCCCTGTCTAGACCCAGACGGGTGGTTGCGTCAACCCCCGTCTGGGCTCCGGAAGCCAGCATAGGGTCACGGTGCCACCCCCCCAAAACGAAGCACCAAAAAGCAAAACATACAGGTACTTTCTGACGCTATGAATTCATTGCTAATCTGTCTCAGACTCTTTTCTATGATAAAGATGGATTCGTTGTGTCATACTAAGAAAAAAAAAAAAAAGCACGTGAGTTCAACTATTAAATAACAACATTTACAAACTCTTTTCTCATGATAGAGATGGATTCGTTGTGTCATATTAAGAAAAATAAAAAAAACAAACAGCCCACCGCAGCAGCAGCAGTTACTGCAGAGACGGTGCGCTCTTCCGACACACTCCCGAATACCGACTGCTGTTGGGAATGAAACGAGGAATAATGTCAGTGCAAGTTGCATCACACCGGCATATTTCTCTTTCCGCCGACCACCCACGCACATCGCAGTGATTTACCGCCCAGCAGCGGTGGGGTGTGCCAACGTGCAACCATGCAATACCATGTGCCGCCGGTATCTGTGTGGGTCGCAGGATACTTGCGTGAAAAACAACCCCATCAATGATGCCCCTGTTTACAGCAGAGAGCAATGGGACTGCTGTACCTACCGCCTACAGCAGTTGCTGCTCAATGCCAACATCATGAGCCTGCCAGCCAAAACATTTGCGCTCATGGCAGGGTTGATCCTCTGTTGGTTTCCGTCTCCGATTGAGACAACATTAACATTTGACCTCATCGGAAGACGGCGATCACCCTACAGCTCCTACATGCAGCAGCAGCAGCAGCAGCAGCAACAACAGTAGCGAAAGCACGTGCGCGTCCGCGCCGAACCTGACACACCCTACCGAGACTACCAGGAACATTCAAGCACAAGAGCGAAGGACAGCGGGTGTGCCCATGCCCTCTATGGAACTGCTGTATACCTGTAGTGTGTTCTTTGGATCTTCTGATGGCTCTAGCATTTTTGTGACCACGGACCGCCTCTTTGCTAGATTTTGGGATTAGCAACTGACACCAGTTTAATGTGACGACAACAACAAGACGGTGAACAGAGAGGCCGCCAACAACACCTCTCCAAAAGAAGATCATCCTTCCCTCAGCCGCTGACCAAGCAAATCGGCTACGACATGAGAGAACGAATGTATGCAAAAGAGTGCCTCACGACGTGCAGCGGGGTGGACGCACACCTCGTTCTCTTTGTACGCATCTACACATCAACGCGACCAAGTACACAGCAGTGTACACATTGCAATCATTGCTATATGTCCAACAATGCTCTGCCAACGAGAGAGTTCCGAAGGGTGCTCCGGTGTTTGGACAGAAGGCGAAGAGCCCATCCTCCCTGAAAACAAAAGACACACACACCACGACAAACATACGGTGGCACTGGGCTACTTGAGCACGACGCTGACCTGCCAAGCGTCTTCCGAGTGAACTGGTGCAGCTCCTCCCGCTTAGAGCCGCCCTGGTGGCCCTTGACCGGCTTGAACGTCTTCTTGGAGGACACCCCGAAGCTGAACCGAGAAAACATGGCGCCCTTGTTGGTGCTCCAAATCTCACCGAAAAATTGATCTGCTGCTGCTGCTGCTGCTGCTGCTGCTGCTGGTGATTCCTCCCGCTTCCCCAGTCAACACCACCTCTTGTATCGCCACTCGAATAGAAGAGCTATGACGTAAGGGGAGTGCCCTTGTGCAGGAGGAAGAAGAAAGAAAGAGTGCTGATCTGCTGTGCCAGGAGATATGCCTCTAGGGGGCAGAACCGACGGCGCCGGAAGGAGTTCGACAGTGGCTCGAAGAGGAGGCCTGCGCGCCTGTTTCCAAGCCTCAGCCAACGGGTCTAGGGCATGTTATTGAACTGCTGCAAAAAAAAGAAGGTTTTCCGCAGTGACAAAATGACTTTTGATGACTTTTACTTTTGCATGTTGCGCATATGAAAACGAACGTTGAACCTCCAGAAAGCAATAGGCGTGGCTGCTGTCGTCGGTGTTGTGGAGTAACATCTCCTCCTTCTCTCTGCTGATGCTATATATGACTATTGTGTTGTTGTGTGCATGCGAAGAAGAGGGTCGCTCTGACTGCTGTGTGTGCATTCCTGTCGCTCCCCTGAGCGAGACTCATACAAACATGTTGTACATACTAACTTATAACGCTCTCGGTGTTGTTCCAAAATGATTTCCTGCCGTCCGTGGTGATTTTTTTCGAGAGTGAGGTCGTGCGCGATGACGCGGGGTTGTTCGCGCTTCATTCGATCAGAATTGTTCTGCAGCAGAGGCAGCTCTTCATGTGATAAAAAAATTGGTGTGACAACACCTCCATGCATCCAGCAGCCGAATCTCCCGATGAGATAATATATATACAGCCCCCGGTTTGTCGGTGCCGACAATTACGCCGTAAGACGTACGTTTGTTTCTGCGCCGCCAGCCGGACGAATGCGTCTCGGTACGGTGGGCCGCCGCAACGCTTTACAAAATTTCGGTAGCGTTCTCCTTTGGTAGACGATGTGTCATACATCCACGCGCACGACCTGTGGCTGTACATTTATTTGCTCCCCTCTCTGTTTCCGTCTCTCTCTCTCTCTCTCTCTCTCTTTCTCTCTCTCGAACAGCTCACGGCCCACGGAATATCTTTTCTGTCCACAGCAGTCACATGAATCACGCGTACGCGACGTTTGGGACCGCGGTGACCGGGCTGAGCAGGAAGGTTCTCTGATCTGCATGCCCCGCAGACGCCCCCGCCGCTTTTGCGCAGTGGGGGGTGGGAGCGGTGGGGTATGTGTCGCGGTCACCCTAACGCTCTAGCACCTCTCAGGGACGCGGTTCTGTCGACTTTGATTGGTCGAGCACCTGCTCAAAGGTCCAAATGTTCCCCCGTGATTAATTTTACCACCCACCAGCCGCGGCAGGGGCACGCCTGATTAAATGAAATCAGCTCACAAACGCGCGTCGGAAACGCGCACACACACACCCGACCCGGCCACACACCACCCACTCCCACAAACCCCGAAGCTGCATTCCGAACCCCTCATCCAGGAACGCGTGCCCTCCCACCTCCACCCCCTCTCGAGGGCCATCCCGATTTCCATCTGCGAAAAGATCTACCCAGCAGACGCCAGTTTATTCTTGCGCAGGTACAGGAGTCCAACAGGCACACACCCACCCACTAGGTTCGTTGAAAATCACATCCTTTGTGGTGTTTGACGAGATTTGCGACCTACACCACCAGCCAGCCAGTCCCCTCCTGCCTCTTCCCAACGGAACGAAGCAACGGGAGCACGGAGTGTTTCGCGCGGCACCGCCCGTCTCTTCGGGCGCAGCAGAAGCAGCAGCAGCGTCGTCCAGTCGCAAAACTCTAAGCCTGCAACAACAGACCTGCTGGTGTTTTGCGCCGCAGCCCCGCTGTTTTGCACCCACGGATACGCGCCAAGCAGCCAGCAGCAGCAGCAGCAGCAACAGCATGTCGACCCTGTTCGCGAGTATGGCGGCGTGGGATCTGAACCCCACGCCGGAGGACGAGAAAGCCCTGGCGTCCGCGTCCCCGACGGGAACCCCCACCGCCGCCGAGGGCAACGCGGCGACGGCGGGCTGGCCCGTGTCCGAGCCGAGCGTGCCATTGACGTGGAATTCGGGCGACCTCGAGGAGATGATGCGGGGCCTCGACAGCACCAGCCGCTCGGCATCGGCTCCGCTCCTGGAGGACGCCGGCAGCAGTAACAGCCCCCCGCTCTCCCGCGAAGACCTCGTGGAGGAGCGAGCCGAGAGCGTGATCGGGTTCCCGACCTCTCGAGGGTCGAGCCCGCTGTACCGCAAGGAGCCGCCGCCCCAGCAGCAGCAGCGGCAGCAGCAGCAGCAGCAGCACCATCATCATGTGGGCTGCTCTTCTTCCGCGTCCGACTACAAGATAGACCACCACCACCAGCAGCACCTCGACGACACCGCTCCTAGCTCTCCCTGCACGCCGAGCCTGCACATGCGCGGGGGCGGCAACACCGGCACCAGCAGCCTCTCGGTGGTGTCGCCCACGTCGAGCCACAGCGAGGAGGTTGCGTTCCAGCAGCAGCTGTCGCTGGAGGCCGAGTCCCGGGCGGCTGCGGCCGCCCCGCCCCTCTCCGCGAGACCCAGCGGGGTGGTTGCTAGTAACAACAATGGAAGCCCGTCTGGCGGGCGCTTCGGTCTCAAGCTCCTCGTCTCGAACAGCATGGCCGGCACCCTCATCGGCAAGGGAGGCACGCGCATCTGCGAGATCAAGGATGAGGTGAGAGAGGGACGCGTTGGCACGCACTAGAGAAAAGACAATTATCATGTTCTCTCTCCCCCAACTCTCGTTCATCTATCTTGTCTTTTCAAAATTTTTGTTGGTGTCGAGCAGCATACACCAAAAAAATGTTGTTGTATGTTGGTTTTTGACTACTCATACCCCCACTGGCTAGAAGCCGGATTTTGCGTTGGTCATGAATGAATTTTTGCTCGGTCTCGTAGTCTCGCGGTCAACCCCTGCCGCTCCCCTGGGCCTCCGATTGCACTGCTCTTGTTGACACCTCTCCGTCCCATGTCCGCTACGAAAGGTTTTTGTTCAGTGCGGTATTCCGGCAACTTGTCGGATTGATACTGTTTTGTGTCGACCGTCCGATACCCGGCGCACACCTATTTTTTTCTCACCCCGGAAAAGAGCCATCCATGCAAGAAGAAAGAAAGGGCGGGTGATGCGTTTTTTCGAAAGTTGTACTGCAGCTGTGTGTACAATACGGGCTTGGGCTCATCATCAGTTTCCCGCGCGCGTTTCAGACCCTTCCACGATGACGCGCAAACACAAACAATGCCTTCGTCCCCATGTAGCAACGCTGTCTCTCGAGGGGGTGAAAGAAAAGCCGAGGGCCAGCGTATGTTTTGCCCATGTCCGTCCGTGTGTACCTCGAACAATAGCAGCGGTGATTTTTCGTCCTTCTTACTTGTCCAGCTTGTATATTTTCCAAGGCCTAGAAACGAACATCCCACATGGTGCACCACAGCGCCAGCAGCTTTTTGCGGAGACTTTTGAAACTGCTTGGAAGTTTGAGACAACAGACCCCACGTGGACGGACGGTGAAAATTTAACCATCGTGCACCTGGCCCGACGTACCCCACGGTCTCACTCGCCTAGACCTTCATCTTTTGTTTTTCTTTTCTCGTGACGATGGTCTGTTCGCCGCGCCATGAGCACTACCCCCGAAAATACTTGCTCGCTTTTGTGCACCTCCATGGATTTGTTTGTTCATTTGCGCTTGTTTGCGTCGTCAATTTTTTTTCCGTGTTGCAGTGCCTCGCCGACATCAAGGTCACGCCCAATGGCCGTTTCTACCCGGGGACTCATGAGCGCGTTGTCCTCGTGGTTGGGGAGCCCGGCAGCGTCCAGATGGCCTGCGACCGCATCGTCACCACCATTTACACCGCCGCGGACACCAGCCTGGACATCACGCAGAGGGTGCTAATCCCCGACGCCGCCAGCGGTCTCATCATCGGCCATGACGGCGTGCGCCTCGGAGACTTGCGCCAGCAGGCCGGCGTTGCCTCCATCCAGGTGCGCGCGCGTCGTTTGTGTTGTTTTATTATAGTACAATAAAAACTGAAGAAGTGAGTGAGGACATGTAGCGTACATAATAAGGCGTCGGTGTTTTTCGGCATCGGATGTATCAACCCGGCTTGCTGCTGCCCGCCATGTAGGTGATAACCTTGGGGGTGTTGTGTTTTTTGTTTTCACAGCAGTCGGAGTGGGATTTTGCCCCTCGGCCGGCCGTATTTTTTCTGGTTCGGTTTCCGACTACCCCCGCCGGTTAAAGTGACGGTCACCTATTTACTGCTGCAAATGGGTGACGACGAAAGAAAGAACCTTCAGTATGCCCCCCCCCCCCCCCCCCGATCCCCTGCTTCGGCTCCGGATCGGCTTCGTTAATTAACTCATGGTACAGCAGGACAACTGCTCGTTCTTCGACGCGAAATCCTTGTAGTTGACGGTTGTTTGGACCTCATCAGCAGTGTCGGTGACCTTTCCGTAGAAAGATCGCAAACAAGCAAAAAGGGCGTCTGTCTCCACATCATTGCTGTATCGTTCTTTTACGTTCTTGCCGCAGTGGTAACTATTGCCTGCGTATCTTCGCGATGGTGTGCGCGCATGTACCACAAGATTTTGGACCATTTGTCATTCATGGGCAGAGGACGGAAAAAAATAAAATCTATCTTCAGACTCATTTCTACGACAAGAGAAGGATTCGTTTGGTCATACTAAAAAAAAGGAAATACAGAAATATTCTGTCAGATTATAACTCGGCCATTTCCCACGCCGGCCGCTTGCCCGCCCCCTTGCTACGCACAGGTGTCCCCCAGGGACATGTGCACCGTGGCGGGAGAGCGCGTCGTGACCCTCCAGGGCCCAATGTCCTCCGTCATCCATGGGCTGACCCTCATCGTCGACCGCATGATGGAGGACACGACCGCCTCCCGCTACCAGAACATGAGCACCATCTACCGTGCCGTCCACCTGCACCTGCCCCCCTATGCCGTTCCGGGGATGCAGCAGCAGCAGCAGCAGCAGCAGCATGACAACGGGGCCTCCCCTCGCCACCCCAACCACCCCCGCCTGTCCCCGTCTTACCGTGGGCCTTCCCCCCACAGCCATCACGACGACTACCACAGCCCCGGCGGCGTCGCGGGGTCCAGAACAGGAAACCGCGGCGACTACGGCAAGGCCGTCAGCGGTGCGGCGGCCCACTGGGAGCTGGGATACGGGGGAGGGAACCACACTCCGCGGGAGCTGGCCCCTCATGGGGGGGGCGGACGCGGCGGCGCAGGAGGGGGGGGGGAGTACGTCCACCGCAACATGTCCATGCCGACCGTGCACCCGCTGTCGGCGCCGCTCGGGAGCCCGCTGAGCCACCAGCACCGCAGCCACACCGCCCCCGCGGCCGTTACCGGCTCGTCGCAGCACTTCGGCGGGAGACACCCCCGCCAGGAGCACGGCGCAGGCAGCGCGGGCGCCGCCGGCCCGCGGGACTTCGACTTTAGCGAGAGGGACACCAGCAAGGTGCACCGTGGGGGAGGGGCGGGACCGATCGACCTGGACGACTACCGCCTTCGCGAGTACGATTCCCCTTCCCCGGCCGACCTGGGCAGCCGGCCCGGCAGCCGGGAGGGCTACGTGCACCACTCGCCGCACCTCCCTGGGCCTTCGCCGCGGGACCTGGACCACATGCGCCAGCAGCAGCAGCAGCAGCAACACAGCCATGACGGGGGCCGCGGGTTCAGCCGCGTGGGCGGTAGCAGCCCTTACCCGCCTGGGTCCGCTGCGTCTCAGTCTGACTTATGGCCGCTCCAGCGGGTACGCCAGCAGCAGCAGGAGTCGTCACCGGGCGCTAGCGGCATCCTGGTGCACGAGGCACGCGCGGCGGCGGCGGCTCAGCACAAGCAGCAGCAGCAGCAGCAGCACCGGGGTCTCCACGACGGAGGCCTGCCATCCTCCTCGGCGCTTCACCGCACGTCCTCGGGATCGGTACACGGCAGCGGCGGCGGCAGCAGCGGGTTGGTAAGCCCGCCCCACGGCGGAGCTCTCCGTCAGGGCGGAATGGTCGGCGGCAGCAGCAGCTCGCACGGGTGCGACGCCTCCGGCCTCTCCGGCATGTTCGAGGGCATGAACCTTAACTCTCCCCCGGGGCTCGCTCCCCCGCCGACGTGCTCGCCGGGATCTCTGCAGCAGAAGCAGCAGCAGGGGCAAAGCAGCGGGGCCAGCGGCGGTGGGGCCGGGTGCATCGTCCATGGCGAGCTTCCGGTGCCGGATGCGGACGTGGGGATCATCCTGGGCAAGGGCGGGGCCACCGTGCGCGAGCTCCAGCAGCTGAGCGGGGCGAAGATCATGATGTGAGTTTTGTTGGGCGCCATTTTTTTTTTCTCGCAACTCCAACGGACGCGGTTCCGGCATGGTGTATCTTCGGGTAGGGTAGAGACTCGGGCGGTAACCGGTTTACAAACAGAAACGAGCATCTGGAAGCGGGATATAACATACATAGACCAACACGCTAAATAATCTTGAGGGTGGTTTTGTGTCGGCAGGGGTACGTAGGTCGAGTCTTGGTATTCAGAGTAAACTTTTTGAAGGAAGAAAACACACGACCACTGGCTGTGTATGTGTTGCCCTTTCGCTCTACCAGATTTGGTACAGTCGCCCCACCACGGCAACTGCTGCTTCGAAGTGGTCTCTTTACCGACCATACCTAACCCCTGCCCACCGACCCAATTTCCTTCCGGTCGGCCGTTCCCCTTGCCTGGGCTAACAGCGCCCGCCGAAATGAGTTCATGCCGGGCACCAAGCACCGCCTTGTCACGCTTGCGGGAGCACCTTTGGCGGTGAACATGGCGCGCTTCCTGATCATGCGCAAGATCCAGACAGAGAAGGAGAAGCTGTGAGCTATCTACGTTTAGGCGAGGACCAGCAGTGTTACCACCGAGACCATGCCCCCCCCCCCCAACGCCGCGGGAGTGTGTGCCTGCGCGTACATGTGTGTGTCTTGTGAGATGGATGAAAGAGTTTTTTTTTTTTCAAAATGAGACGTGGGGGCTGTGGCCTCCCAAGGCGTGGAGCTTTTAAAACCCCCGGTGTTTTGCGTGCGTGTGCGTTGTTGCCGCGCCCTTTTTGTTCCACCACCACCGAGATGGCGTGTATTTGTGTTGATTTGATCGGGGGATGGTGGCCTGAGGCGATTCACAGCCGGGGAATGAGTGTTTTGCGTTCAGTTCTGTGAACGGGGGGGGTTCAAGAGACAGTGGACCAGTCGACTGCCTTGCCCTCTCCGGAGATGCACGTCAAGTTGGTTGTGATGATGCCGTTGAATCGAAAATCGAGGGGTGTCGGCCACGCGGCGCTTGACATCCATCACGTGAGTGGCTTTCTCTGGTGATACCGCATAATTTTTTTTTGAGTTTTTTTTTTCGCTGTTAGTGCTTGTTTTCAGCGCAAACCACACAGCACCATTAGCAGCAGCAACAGCAGCAGGAACTCCAATTCCTTGATAAGAGTGTGGCAGGGCATAATACCAACTGACGCTTCCATGAGAATTCCGGGGCTCTTACCGACCGTGGAACAGCAGTACGTACGGTGCAAGGATGTCTCCAGAGAGGTTACGTCTTTTCACGTCCCCTTTCGCAGGGCATGGTATGCCTGTCTCCTGTGGAACTGGGAAAGCAGGGGATAAGCCTGGCCTAGTAGCCAGTTGGCGGGGGTTAGCTAACTGCTCTGTGCGTTGTGCGGACCGATTGTTGGTAGGGCCAGTTTTTGTTTTGGGACCCTGGGGCGGGGGATACGAAAGAGCCGCGACCCCCCTCTTAGCGGAGATGTTCGCCTCCTTTTTCCTGTTTTGGCCCCCTCTCGGTCGTTGTTAGAAAATAGTGCGTTCTGTTTTAACGGGGAGTGATTAGTGTTCTTCGGGGGGAAACGTGTTGCTGTGTCGAAAGTTATCCCGTTTCCCTTTCGGGAGTCCACCAAGAAGTTGCGCCCACTACGCCGCTCACTTTTAGGATGTATATCGGATTCTCTTTGCGATTCGATTCTGGACTACATGTACACAAGACGAATTGACGTAGGGGCTAGGTTAGATTTTTTTTGTTGGCTTATTCTCGGGGGGGCATGATAAATAGCACCTTTTAGGCACATACGTAGGCGTAAGAAAAAGGAAGGAGAGGGGCGGCCGCCGCAGCCGCCACGAACACGCCGACTTGCCCAACGCGAACGAGAGCGCTTATCCTACAAGGGCGTAGCGACAAATACGAGAGAATCGAGCTCAAAACAGATAGTCACAAGGGTGTGACTTGTGACAATCGTCTTTTTTTTTCTGTCTTCGCGCATTCCTCCCACGCGTAGTGGGGCCAGGGTGGGGGGAAGGGATCAACGCCGTCGATATCCTTGTCTGGTTCGAGTGTATTCTGTGCTGGGGGTGTATATTCGGGGGGAGGGGAGGGGGGGGGTGTTGTGTTGTTTTTTTCGTGATGATAAAATGATGGGGAGTCACGCGGGCGTCGACGTGTAGGCATTATACTTTGCTCGATTATGTGCGTCACCGATGATATAGTAGCATTGTTTTGGCGTGTTTTTTACACTTTGTTTCACCTTTGCAGGGGTGCGGATAGGGAGAGCGAAGGGTCGCGGGGCGAACAGCTGTCGGAATCGAGTTATTTGTACCGGCTACCATCCAGTCACGCTAAGAAGAGCGGAGTTCCAATCCGTCGTTAGCCTTTGCAAAAGGGAAGGCGGTATAGCAAACCGATTGAAGAAATAGGCATAACAGGCGCCCTGGGTGTCCGACGCTGACAGCAGTGTCATCGAACCTACTTGTAATTTGTGTTTCCTTTGTTCCTTTCTCCGGATCTGGGGGAGGTGGGGGAGTCTTTTGCGGGGGGGACTGCGATGTGGGATTGCAGTATGTGCTCCTTGTTGCGCGCGGCATTTGGAGAGGAGGCCTGTGTCTCCCTCGCGAAGAAGGCCGCTCTCTTATACCTTCTCCAGTCTGTGTCTGATTTAGCAAACGGATGCTTTTCACTCCGGAGAATGAAAAAGGAGGGTGCCGCACACCGTTTTTTTCCGTTCCTTGGTTCTTTTTTTTTTGTGTGCTTGTCTGCCACCACTATTTTTTACACAACCGGATGTTGTCGCCGCGAGCCTGAAAATATGGCGCGATAAGCTTGTGGAACGCCGGTGTTGAATAGGATAGAGAGACCCCGTGTTGGTGTGTCGCATGCCCCTTTTCTGCTCAAGCGGGGCAGGGCGCCTGGCCTGCCTGGCGCATTGGAGGGGGTCCCCTTAGGGGTTGTCGCGCCTACCCGGTTGGCGATTAGATGGGTTTGTCTTGCCTGCTTGTTGGGACGGGACAGTTCGTTCAGTTAGGGTCGTGATAGCGCGAGGTGTCGGGTCACCTTCTGTAAGTTTTTTTCTGGGACTGGGGGGGGGGTTGGTAGTGTGGGGTCGTCGTTACGATCTGTCGCGTCGTGTGCCCCCCCCCCCCCCCCCCTTCCTCCGCACTCGTGTTGTTTGGGGTACCTGGTCTCTTTTGCTTGCTTATCATGTAACGACTTGTTGCATGTTATTTTTCTCCATTTTATGGCGTTGTCATGTACTACAACTATTGTCGTATCTTAAGAGTTGGCGTCGCCGTTGCGGGTCGTCTTTTGTGTTTGGTAGCCCCCCCTCGCTCCTTCCCGGTTGCCCGCTGTACCCCTTGATGTAGCAGTCACCGAGTCCTTTTTTGTTTTTGTTTCTGCAGTGTGTTGACTCTAAATCGCCCGCTGTGGGTTACAAGATGGGACGGAGAGTGGGCGCTTTGTTGGTGTTTCCACGGGTTTCGAGAAGAACAGAGAGGGGGGGGGGGAACAAGAAAAAAAATGGTACGAGGGAGGGGGGAAGTAGGACAGGACAGAAGAGGAACCAGTAATCCAAAAGAGTGCTGTGGGTTCGGTGCTACGTGCTGTCAGAGTTCCCTCCCAGCCGCAGTAGTGCGTTGTGTTGTGTCTGGTACTACATGTCAGGTTCCTTTCCTAACTCTATATACATACGTATAATATGATGTGCGCGGTCAACAAGTAGTGTCACTGTAATGTTTTCTTTTTTTATTTTTGGCAAAAGGTGTATTCTAGAAGAGAAACAAAACGGTTGCCCCGCCTCGCCAGCCACGCCATCCGGAGCACTCTTTAGTTGTTTTGTTCCAAGAGGCAGCTCCTTTCAAAGTGTTCAAGTGGTAGAGGAGTCTCCCTGTCTCCCCCAGTCGAAGAAGAAAATTCTTGGAAACTTCTTGAAAGTTGCGTGTGGCGTGTGCTCGACCCTGGATCGTGGGGGGGCGTGTTCTCCTCCTTCCCAAGTAGTGCGTTGTGACGAGGGCGGTAGGGAACGGAGCGATTAGGGAAAAGTGACGTCGAGATCGAGATCCCATCGTAAGTAGTGTTGTTCACTTTATTTTTCTTTTGTTGTTGGGTTATCTGCATCTTCGTGGCGCGATATCCGTGCGTACATACACACCTTCATGTGCCTGCGTTGTGTGTCTATGAGCACGAATTTGTTGACGTTGGATTGGCCTGATGCCGCCGCCGCTGCTGCTGCTTCTGCTGCTGCCGCCGCTACCCTGGGCGGGGTGGGGTGGGGTGTTTCTGATACTGGTTTGTATTTTTTCCCGTGTTTGCTGAAGAGTGTTGTCTGTCACATGGAAAACAATGGCCGCGTGCTGCCACCACTCTCGTTCTCTCTGGTGGTCTTCGAGCCGCATCGTAGTCAGTTCTTTGTTTGTTTTCCTGTTTGGCTTGTCTGTCTTATCTGTCTTGTCTGGCGAGACCTCATGCATGTTTGTTCCCTCGTTTGGGTGGTGATCTTCCCCGCGGCTTGCCTCTCTCCTCATCCTCCTCGTGTTTCTCCCGGGGGGTGTTGTAGCGGCGTGTTGCCATGTATGGACGATAATAATACCGAGCGATATACAGGGACATTGGGTGATCCGTAGCCGAGGGCATTTCTTCCTACGACGTCGCGTCGCGTCTTGGGGTGTTCGTTGGGTCAACTGGGTAGACAGGGTGGTGTAGTAGTGGAGAAATTGGCGGGGCACGGAGCTTCCGCACGGCGGGGGCACCGTTGATGATCAATACAGCGCCAAGGGGGCTTTCGTGTACGAAGAAGGTAGAGGCAGGGAGCAGCGAACGAGCAGTATCGTGCACGAGCCCTTGTTTTTCTTTATATTTGTTTGCCCTTGGCCGGTGCGGCTATCTATCATCATATTGTCTTTGCCGTGTTCGACGTTCTGTCTGTCTTGGTCTTCTAAAGTGCAATAAAAAATGGTAGAGAACATTGTTAACACCCGGGGCGTGGTGTGAGGTGAAGAAAGAGGTCAGGATTTTTTTAGGGTTCTTTTTATTTTGAGTTTTATTTCTGATGGAACAGCATCATCTTTATTGTGCTACACCTACATTACCGCACAGCAGCCGCAGCAGTAGTAGTATAGAAAAACAAGGGAGGTTGGAGGGTTCACAGTTAGTAGTGTGTTCGTTCATGGACAACGAGGCGGGAGGCGAAGTGCGGTGACCGCTGTCGTGTGCCTGATCGAGTTAAATGGCCGTGTGTACCGTTTTCATTCCCCTTACAGGGGGAAAGAACAACGAATGGCGTAAACGACGAAGTAAACGAACAGGGAGGGACGACACACCACACGGAAATTAAGACTACCGGGTGACCACGTTTGTTGCTTTGTTTTCGGGCGACTGGCTGACTGACTGCTGCGTCATCATGGCGAAGCCAGCTATCCCTCTGCTTGGTGGCTATGCTAGCGTTTGCTGAGAGCGCGCTGCGCGCGCCCCTTCAAATAAATATGTATGATTCGCTTCTTCTACACCACATTATTTTCATCATGTGGATGATATTTTTGTTCCTTTTGATCGAGACATCATTGATTATCATGTCAAATAAAAAGATGGTGCTCGGTTGTGGCACCTTTTTGGAACGAAGACTTGAGAGTGGAGAAGGCCATGACACCAGACATTTTCAATACTTACCTGTATGCATCCAAAATTGCATGGAAGGTGGCCCGGTATTATAGTGGCATTTTTGGGCAAGAGGAGAATGTGCAGGGCAGTGTCACTATTCGACATGTATGTCGGGTTCATGTACATGTACATATTGAGATGAGATCGTGACAAGAGATATTCATGCCACTATTATGATGTCGGCAGTTCCACCATTCAAGCAACATACCGCTCATATTCATGTCGGCCACGGAGTACTGTGTGCATATATGTCAAGACCACATACATACGGGCGTCTCACTTATTGTTCACCTCGTCACCCTTCCTGTACTTGGATACTGAGCACAAAAAAGGCGGGCTTTTGAGTCTGGCCGAGGCTATGTTATAGCACGACCGTATGACATCGTTATTTCTTGGTGTTCATCTGTCAACCCTTCTTTGGGTATGTTCGGACGCACAAACAACAGCACCGACCGGAGGAAGGCTGATGGATTTTTTTTTTTTTTTTCTTAATATGACACAACGAAACCATCTCTATCATAGAAAAGAGTCTGAGATTTCAAATCGGTAATTAATTCCTTTCGCGGTTCAGCAATAATTTTTGTAGCGAACTGTGTGTGTGTAACGTTACGCCCCCAAATAGGAAGGTCGTCCAAAACAACCCAAATGTTTCCTTCGAAGTAACACACTTTGTCACCAATGGTCTCAGTCTGTCTGTCGGAGGCTCACCATCTGATCTGTAGATAAAAGTTAACTATGTTTTCCACCACACCCCAGAGAGACACGCCGATCGATCCGTCTGCTGTCTCTGCTTCTAACTGATCAGCCATGACGACCTCAGTTTGCACGTCGAGTTATGGTGTTGCCATCATCATCATCCCCGGGTGACACCCCTTTTTTCTTCCACAAGACGAAGCGCTAAAGAGATGAAAATGTTAGCTTTTTTTGACGCTATGAATTCATTGCTAATAATCTGTCTCTGACTCTTTTCTATGGTAGAGATGGGTTCGTTGTGTCATATTAAGAAAAGTATATATATATATTCAAGATATATTATTATGACGTCCCCAATTCTCTCCCACTCCTAAACAAAGACTCACTCTCTCCTGTACTTTAACTTGGGGGGGGGGGGGCG